GTAGGAAAGGCAGACAGTATGATTCAGGAGGTCAGAAATGAAAGAGCACAGCATAATCGGGCTTACAAAGTACTCTACCCTCGCCAATATCTGCTTTCTCCTCTCTGCTCTGCTTAGGGATGGACAAGAGATAGGTGGGAAGGAAGATAGGAAAGTTATAAATCGATTCTGTTCCTAATCAGAAATCAGTACCTTTTTTATTTTGCTTTGATAATCTACTCGTCTTGGTCTTATTTTCCATGTCCCCAGGACTGCTGGTAGACATAAAGTAATTTCCCCTTGGTGTTATTCATAAGAGGCAGTATCTTACAAATACTAATATAAGTGGAGAGAAAGAACACAATTTTCTTTATATAACTCTCATGAAATCTTTTAAGCATCCAGCACAAGGAGCAGCTTTCTCAGTGAAATACATTTCTCTAGTGTCAGATTCTTTGAGTCATAAAATCCCCTTTACACCTTAGGAATAAAGGGTGGATTGGTGAGATATTGCAGGCTGACTTGAGAACTGAGGGTTTGTCCAAGACACATGAGAAATTCTGTAAACATCTGAGGGATTAGTTAAAGCCCCAAGGACACTTGTTCCAAACTTTTATTGCTTAGATGGGGAATCCGAAAATAAGATGGGTCAGTATTTACTAAAGGGCATACACTCGGTTTCTGCCTTCCAGCCTAGATACACACCTGAGCTTTAATCAGCCTGCTTTGAGCAATATCTAGTGTCGCTGCTCTGATCATTTGTGAGGTGTCACATATTTACCAGTTTTAAAAATTAGCCAGGATTGGAGATACCGGACAATTGACCACGAAGAACTCCAAGAGGATGGTGGAGACTGAATCCGATATAATCAGGAGGTATACAGGTTAGCTAGAAATAGCTCATCAGAGCTAGGTTCCCCAAAACTCTGAAAATTTGCCATGTGGGTCCTACTTAGGAACTCGATAGTAGAAGGCTACTATTGGGCCAAGGAAAGTTGAAGTTCAAAAAATTTGAAAGAAATCAGAGAGGAAAGCTTGAAATAGATTACTTAGACTAACTCAAAGGAATGATTATGTGGGCGTGGCGAATCATACCCCGTTCCGATTTCCGTTTAGGAATCTGTGCACAGTCTCTCCCATGTGTTGTCTCTGTTAAGAAAGCACGAGATCTTCAGACTTGACCTCTGAGGTTTTTGACGTTTTCTATTTCCTTTGTATTTTTTTCCTGGTAAGTTGCTCTATGTTTGTATGTGTGTGTGCATGCACATTTCATGTACACACACACACAAACACATGCACACACGACTGGGTGTATAAGTTCTCCAAGAACCATTTCCTTTTCAATTACTATTTTATTTTTCAATTACAGTTGACATTCAGTATTATTTTATATTAATTTTGGGTGTACAGCATAGTGATTAGACATTTGCATAACTTATGAAGTGATCCCCCTGGTAACTCTAGTTAGTACCCACCTGATGCTATACCTAGTTATGATAACATTATTGACTATAGTCTGTAAGCTGTACTTTACACTGCCACGAGTATTTTGTAACTACCTTGTACTTTTTAATTCCCTCACTTTTTCACCTGGCCCCCAACCCCCTCCCATCTGATGAACATCAATTTGTTTTCTGTATGTTCTGTTCCCTATGAGTCTGTTTCTGTTTTGTTTGTTCATTTATTTTACTCTTTAGACTCTACACATAAGTGAGATATCATGGCATTTGTCTTTCTCTGTCTGACTTATTTCACTTAGCATAATACCCTCTAGATCTATCCACGTTGTCACAAGTAGTAAGATTTCATTCTTTTTTATGGCTGAGTAATATTCCGTTGTATATGTGTACCACCTCTTCTTTACCACTTCTGGGTATTTATCCAAAGAAACCTAAAGCACTAATTTGAAAATATATATGCTCCCCTATGTTCACTGCAGCGCTATTTACAATAGCCAAGATATAGAAGCAGCCCAAGTGCCAATCAAGAGCCATCTCCTTTAGCAAAGCTATAGCAGTTGCTGTGACCAGCAGAACCATCCTTTTTGCCTGTTCATTATTGGGATAAAGATAATCTTTCTACACATCTTTCTTCTCCAGTGCAGTCTTTAAACTGGTTAATTTACATGATAGCCTGCTGAGGAGAATGATTTCAGAACGAATTAAACTGCTATCAGGAGTATCTCGAGGTCCATCCATGTTGTCGCAAATGGCAGTATTTCATCTCTTCTTATGGCTGAGTCATATTCCATTGTATATATTTACCATAGCTTCCTTAGCCAATCATCTATCATAGGACACTTCGGTTGCTTCCATGTCCATGTGAATAATGCTGCTATGAACATCAGTGTGCAAATATTTTTTCAGGTATGAATTTTCAGTAAATGAGTCAGAACCTTGATGTTTTAGGCTTCTCTGGATGGGGGCAGTAGCTAAGGGAGCATGGCTAGGGAAGATAAGCTATATTTGTTTTTCTAAGGATGGTAAGGTGGCATTCAGATCTGATCAAAGATCTAAATACTAGATTCCGCTTTGAGAGGCTGTCTAGTTGATTTAATCCATCCCACGTGTTCATAAAGACTTGGATCTCAGTGAATCTAAACAAACAAAATCCTGCGGTTCTTAAGAGCACTCCGTTGTTGATAAATGAATAAGAACTCAGCTTTGTGTTTAATACTGCTCTTTTTAGCTTAATTTCATTTTCTGTTCTTTTTCTCGTAGGTTAACAATTCATGCCGAGTGTCCTATGCATTTGGAAGATTTTCCCATGGATGTGCATGCCTGCCCTCTGAAGTTTGGAAGCTGTATGTATTGTCTCACTTTCTGTTTGCCTGATCTTCTTCCAAAAGACACCGGATATTACCTATTCTGTCCCCTAATTGTTTTTAAAGTTGAGGGCTTTTATCTAGGCTGATATGGAAATGGTAAAAGGGAAGTGGGGTTGAGTAGTACTAAGTGATTAGGAGGAGGCTTAGCCTTTCATAGAATTTTCTTTCTAGACCGTAAACCCTATTTCACCATTTCAGACTAATTTCTCTGTCATTAGGTTGAAACATTGACATCTGTTGCTTAAATCATCCTGATGACACAAGACAGAGCTTATAGAGAGTATAGTAGCAGCTTCCTATCCTTCAAATAGAATATTATTATATTTTAAAAATGTCTATTCTACCTGCATCCTATCAAATACACTTCTATCAAATTCTCTACAGTAAATAGTAGACAGGAAGAGACTCTGGAGAGTTTCTCATTTTTAGAGAGTATTGCCTTTGCTAGTAGCTGTGAATCTGACAGAGAAATGAATAGATACATAGCCCATTTTCAAATGAATTTTAAATCCAAATTGAACAGAATTTGAGTGAGTTTCTTCCTCTAAGAATTTCAGAGTAAGTTTCATTTAAGGAGTCATCAGAGCAATATCTAAAGGTCTGTGTTGATCATGTCTAAATTAGATTGAGCTCTATGTTTTGAAGTAGACAGTACATTTGAAAAGACCCAAATAATTACGTGTGACATATTTTCTCAATCATTATCAAATATTTACAGATTGTGTGCCAGGCTCTATTTCAGGAGCTTGAAATGCATCCATGAATAAAATAAAGACCGTGCCCTTGTGTAGCTTATATTATAGAAGAGAGAGTGATGGTGAAAGTTAAACAATAAATTAAAAAGTAAAGTATAAATTAAAAAAAAGTAAAGTATAAATTAAAAAGTATAAAGGATGTTGTCGAATGAGAAGCACCACGGGAAGATGTAAAAATATTGCAGAATAAGGGAGATGAGTCCCTTCAAGAGGTGGAGGATGGGTGTGCCATTGAAATTTAAAGTAGGGTGATCAGCATAGGCCTCTTTGAAAAAGTGACATTTGAGCCAAAATGTTAAGGAGGTAAAAATGTTAACTCTGCAGCTATCTGAGGAAGTCGTGCTCCAGGTGGAAGGAACAGCCAGGGACATGATCTGGAGTCAGAAAAATATCTGACTTGTTCTGGGAAAATCAAAGTGGCCTCTGTGGCTGGTCAGAGAGTAAGAGAAGCATTAAGAGAGAAGGGATGAAAGAAGAGGCCAGGTCATCTAGGGTCTTGTGGGACATTAACGGGCTTTGAATTTTATTCTGAGGAAAAAAAACGAAGAGCGATCAGAATATTTTGAATAAAATAATTACCTTATCTGACTTACGTTTTAAAAAATTCATTATAAATGCTCTGTTGAAAATGTTGGTATGGGAAGGATAGAAGCAGGGAGTCCAGTTAAGAGGTTATTAATAATATTTCAGATGAGAGGTGATAATGACGCAGAGCAGAGTGACGGTGGCAAAAGTGGTGAGAAGTGGCTTGATTCTGGATATATTGTAAAGGACGGTCCCAAAGGATCTTTTATGAATTAGACGTGGAATATTAGAAAAAGAGTGAACTCAGAGGTGACGTGTAGTTTTTTTTGTTTGTTTTAATGAATACGCTATCAAGTTAGATGAGTATTATTTCCACTCTGGGTGAGACAGAGTCATTTGTGGATGAACAGTGTTCCCCTCCTGAACAATGAGAAAACTTAGAACTATAGAAACGACAAGGACGACAAGGCAGAAATTCTGAAGAAAGGCTAGAACCTCTCGTAGATGAATTTCTGACCCGTGGCTTCATAATTCCTGGTGGCACAGTGTCACTTGCTAATTCTGGCCATTGATTGCAGCTTGGAATTGCAAGTTTGACCCTAGGCATCGGGCTGCTGCTGCTGGATGATAAAAAAAAAAAAAGCAATAGTTTTGATGGTCAAACAGAGCTAAAGTGATCAAAGTAGAGCTCTAGAAAGTCTCAAACCTCTTGGCTGATGCTCCTCTCAATACTATTGCTGAATTTTGAATTTACAAAAATCATAAAGCTAAAAACCAATCTGAAAACCTTTGGAAAAGTAGAGTTGGCTTTCCTGCAGTCCTCCGATGCTATAACAAGGAAGGCAGGCCAGGGTTCAGTTTAAAACCCCAGAGAAGCTATGTCCTAGTTAGAAGGGAACAGCAGAGACAGACCAGGTTTTAACCGAAACTGTAAGTCAGCTCAGTCCCTTATGGCTTAAGGGGTAAATTCTCCCACACTATCTGTGTTGCCAAGGGAAGAATGAAGCCTCTCTGGTCAACATCATCGGAAAACTCTCCAGTTTTATATATAACATATGGACTTCGATAAAAAAATCATTAGGTGTACCAATAGGCAAGACCATGTGACCTAAAACCAAAACTGAAAAACAAAAAGGCAAAATATGGAAACAGACCTATAGGTGATCCAGATACTAGAGTTTATATATAGGGACTTTTAAAAACTATGGTTAATATATTCAATTCAAAAGAATGTTAATAAAATAGATAAAAGATAGGGAATTTCAACAGAAAACTGGAATCTATAAAGAATGAATTGGAAATTACTTATGGAAAAGTACAATATCTAAAATTCAGAATTCAATGAATGGATTTAAGAAGCAGAAGACCGGATTAGAGAACTTAAAAATGGGTAAATAGAAAACAGTAAAACTGAAGTAGGAACAGACAACAATACAGAAGAGAGTAAGAAGAATGTGGGACACAATAAAATACATTGTAATGTATAATTTTGCAGAAGAAAAACAGGAAGGGCAAAAGCAACAATTCAGTAACTAAAGGCCGACCAAAAGCAAAAACAGGAAGAGCAAAAGCAACAATTCAGTAACTGAAGGCCAACCATTTTTAAATCTGACAAAAGTTATCAATCCAAAGATTCAAGAAGTTAGTAAACACCGAGCATGATAAATACAAAGAAAACAGTACTGCTTCTAAAGTTTATATAGAAATATAAAAGTGCCACAAGTAGGTAAGACAGTCTTGCAGAGAGGGAGGGAAGGAAGAAGGGAGGGAAAGACAGAGAGATCAGGATTGATTTCTAGATGAATTGTAGTTATAAGCATAAATGTAGATATAAATAAAGCTTTTAAAAGAAAACATAAGAGAATATCTTCATGATCTTGGAAGAGGTCGAGAATACTTAAAGAGGGCATAGAATAGTGCTAACCACAAAGTTAAAAAGGAGAATGACTTGGAATATATTAAAATTAAGAAATTCTCTTTATCAAAAGACAGTGGTACAAAGGCAAGCCACAGGATGGGAGAAAATATTTACCTTGCGTATACATGACAAATGACTCAAATACATAATAATTAAGATCCCCTACAAATTTATAAGTAGTAGTCAGAAACCGCAACAGAAAAAAAGCCAAAGTGTTCAGTAGGCTCCTTATAAAACAGAGTTTCCCAGTCACACACAGATAAGGCGATCCGTTACATTAATCAGCAGAGAAATGCAAATTAAAGTCCAGAGGGTACCACTCTGCAGCTAATTGAATGCTAGAATGAGAAAAGTTAGGAAATACGTAACGTTGGTGAAGATGTGGAAGGCAACTGTACTCTCATGTACTGCTAATAGGAATGTAAATTTGTACAAAGGTTCGGGGGGATTGTTTGGTGGTATCTACCAGTGCTGAACACACACATATCACATAACCTAGCATCTCTAGTCCTGAGTATATTTCCAAACATAAATCACTATTTATGTCTCAGGCATATGATGAATATTCATAGCAGAGTTAATTTTAGGAGACCCAAACCCTAATCTCCGTCAAAATAAATGAAAAATCTGTGACAGAGTCACACAATGGAATGCTATACAATAATGACAATTAAGTATATCACAATCAACGTGAACAAGGTCACAGATCTAATGCTGAACGAAAGCCAGACACATAAGTATATATAGTGCATGATTCCATTTATAACATAACATATACCAGGCACGACTAGTCTACGATGTTAGAAGTCTTTATATTTTGTCTGTTTTTGCTGTTGGTAGTATTTTTAACTTATTGACATATTAAACTATGGGGTTTGGGAATAAAAGTTGGAATTCCCAGGAATTTTATAAATTAAGTATTATTCGTAAAACACCCCAACCTTCTTCATGCTCTTTACTCATTATTACAGATATCCAACTATTTTTTAATAAATAAGAGATAGTACGTTTAGAAGTACGGCAAAGGCCAGTTGTGTACAGAAGATACTCAAACACTGGAAAACACCAGTAAATCTGATTGGATATATTCGAATAACAACATTAGGATCTCTTAGCAAGGTAAACAGCACTACACTGAATCAAAAGTCAAAATTGCCAGTTTGAGGGTTTATTTTGCTTCTCAAACTTGGTATTTCTTGAAAGAACACTTGTTTATTGTATACTAAGCATATAGACTTGTCAAGAGATAATTTGCAAGGATGCTTTACCATCAGTGGCACGCAGGGCCACAGACATACACTTAAAATAAGCAAAATTAACCGATTGGATTAATATGTACTCCTGTACCGATACCTGAAAATTTCAAGACTTTGACTCATCGTGCTATTGTTTCCTTCTTTCACTTTTGACTTGACATTAATAGATTCCTTCAAATCAGTGACGTCTCTATGTCTATTGTTATACTTTAATTTTTACAGGAAAATTATAATATTTTTTTCCATTTTGCTGATTTGTCAACTTTTTTTTTTTTTCAGCATTCGATATTCAGAAAAATATATAAATTTCCTGGTAAATTCCAGGAAGGAATTCCCACTAGAAACAATAATCAGGATAATGGTTACCCTTGGTGGGGGTTGTACTTGAAAATGGACGCAAATAGCACTTCCGGGTGCTGATTATGTGGGACATAAGTCTGGTGTTCAGAAAAGATATCTGGACTGGAGACTTGATTTAGGTGTCATCCATGTGGATGGTATTTAAAGCCACACAGCTGGATA